AAATATAAAAGATATTGAAATTTTTATACAAATAGTCAGTTAAATTTATTTATATCTTTTAGTTGTTATGTTGCATTTTTTGAGAATTAATTTAACTAAATTTTAAAGTTAAACTAGATTACATTAATTTAATATTTTAAAAATAAACTTGTAATATTAAAAATTATAAAAAAAAATAATATAAATTACAATTTTTTTTCATATTACTATGATGAAAAAATATATCTAAAAATATTAATCAAAATTTATATCGATTAATTTTCTACGAATAAAAACTATGATTAAGTAAAAGGGAGTACATGTGAACCACTATTTAGGCAATTTTTTTAAAAAATAATAATTAATTGATAAAAAAAAAAAAAACTTCTTCTTGACCTTTTTCCTTCCGAAGAATTGGCACTTGACCACTTTGTCCAAACCGCCCGTTTCCCTTCTCCCACTTTTCTCTCTCACCTATTTATGCCCATTTCACACTCCTCTCCCTTCTTATAAATCTCAACTGCATACAAATCCATTTCTTCACTTAACCAAAAATGCCTTCGTATTTCTCTCTTCTCTTTCTCACTCTGTTTTTTGTATCTGTTTCATCAACTGCAAAATCTAATGATGCTGATAATTTCTTATCATCTGCTCAGAAATTTCCAATTACAATGGCGGAAAAGTTAATCAGACAGCTTAATTTATTTCCTAAACATGAAATCAACAAGGCAACAGAGGATTCAGCAGCAGCTACTGAACAGGGTCTCTTTGAGAAGAAATTGAATTTATCTTATATTGGTGATTCTGGAGCCACTGTTCAGAATTTGGGCCATCATGCTGGTTATTATCGTCTTCCACACACTAAAGATGCAAGGTTTGAATTGAATTTAATGCTTTAAAATGAATCATGGGTGATTTTAATTAATGCTGAATTATCTGTTTGAATTGGAAGAAATCTGTTGAGTGTTTATCAGAAATAATCTCTACCTACAAATGTAGGTAGATGTAAGGTTGGCATATATCCCATTTTTTTAGGCTCTACTTGTAGATTACGCTGTGTATATTGTTGTTATTTTTTTTGGAAAAAGAATCATGGTATTGTTAATTAGTGTTATAGTATCTGTTTGAATTACAATAAATGTGGAGAGTCTCCTAAGTAGTTTCTCTACCTCACAAATGTAAGAATAAAATTTGCGCAAGTTTTATTTTTTTAGACTTCACTAGTGGAATTAAATACGTTGTTTATTTTGATGGAAAAAAGAATCATGGGTATTGTTAATTAAAAAAAAGAATCACGGGTATAGTTAATTAATACTAAATTATTTTTTTAAAATGTTTTGCAGGATGTTTTACTTTTTCTTTGAATCGAGGAGCAGGAAGAATGATCCAGTTGTTATATGGCTAACAGGAGGGCCAGGATGTAGCAGTGAATTGGCTGTGTTTTATGAAAATGGACCTTTCAAAATTGCAGACAACATGTCTCTTGTCTGGAATGATTTTGGCTGGGACAAGGTTCTTTTTTTCTTTTCTTTTTTCTTTTTTATTTTTATAATATTATAGATTTTACCCAATTAAATTTCGAAACGTTAATTAGATCTTGGTGTAAAAGAATTCCCTCTTATGTTTTTATTTGATTTCCAACATTTCTCCATCATGCAAAGTACCTTTTCACCTACTAGCATTTCTTTTTTAATTTTTTTGACATTTGCTTTTCATGAGTTGTGACTTTTAGAATTTTGAAAATTCAAAAGTAGTTCACCTTATTGACATTAATAACTAGCTTTTCTTGGTTTAAGCGGGCAAATAAGACACCTATTACGACAAGTTAAAATATATTGATAGAGTTATTTACTCGGTAACACTAGTTAAATTGCAAATTGACAGGTCTCAAACCTTATATACGTTGATCAACCAACTGGAACTGGATTTAGTTATAGTTCCAGTGAAGATGACATTCGTCACGATGAAAGGGGCGTAAGCAATGATCTCTTTGACTTCTTACAGGTTCCTTCCTATTCCCTTTTTAGCTAAATCTTTGAATTTATAATTAACTTATATTAATGTTGAAATAATTCTATCATTTTCAAAATTCTAAATGCTCATTCTTTTGATGATAATGTATATAGGTCTTCTTCAAGGCACATCCTCAGTATGCAAAAAATGATTTCTATATTACTGGAGAATCATATGCTGGGCATTACATTCCTGCATTTGCTTCTCGGGTTCACCAAGGAAACAAAAACAAAGAAGGAATCTATATAAATCTTAAGGTATTTTTTACTTCCTCCGTCTCAAATTAGTTGTCATGTTTCGCTTTTCGAGAGTCACTTTGACTAGTCTTCATAGCTAAAGTGGATTAGATATAATCAAATATAGACATTCAAAAATTATATGAAAATACTACAAGTTGCAAGTATTCTCTTGTCAATTTGAGGGAAAATTGCATTTTAAAATGTTAGTCAAAGTTCAAGTAGTTTGACTCTCGAAAAACGAAGATGAAGGAAGTTACTAATTGTCTCAATATACCATCCTTTTGCTTCATGGCCAGATAGTTTTTGTCTGAATTTCTTAATTATCGTGCTAACTTAAGCAAAAATACATTTGTTTAGGGATTTGCCATTGGTAATGGACTCACTGATCCAGAAATCCAGTACAAAGCCTACAGTGACTTTGCTCTGGATATGAAATTGATCAACAAATCTGATTACAATACCATAGAGAAGACATATCCACAATGTCAACAGGCAATCAAGCTTTGTGGTAATTCTTTTTTTTTTATATTTTTTAAAATTCTCAAAGTTCTTCTTTCTTCATACAACACAATAGCTAGTGTTGACATTGGCTATTTTTTGTGCAAATAATATCAGGAAAAGATCGCAGCGGTGTTGCTTGTATGGCAGCATATCTTGTTTGTACAAGCATCTTCAACAAGATAATGAATATTGTTGGTGACAAAAATGTAAGAGCTAGCAATCTCATTTTAATACCATTAGTAAATTTTAACTTGTTGTAGCAGGTTATCTGTCTTATTTTCCGGTTAATTACTAATCTCTATACTGTTAGTGTATATAAGTTGAACTCATGTTATGGAATTTGTAATTTCCGAGGTGCAGTACTATGATTTGCGGAAGAGATGTGTGGGTGATCTATGCTATGACTTCTCGAAAATGGAAACATTCCTGAATGATCAAAAAGTTAGACAAGCCCTTGGTGTTGGGGATATTGAATTTGTTTCATGTAGTTCTGAAGTATACCAAGCAATGCAATTGGACTGGATGAAGAATCTTGAAGTGGGCATTCCTTCACTTCTTGAAGATGGTATCAAGCTACTTATATATGCAGGGGAATACGACCTTATCTGCAATTGGCTCGGTAAAGATTCATTTCATCCCTCACCTACGCGATAATTTTAATTTTACGTATGGTCATTCAACTTTTTGTTTATTATATGGACAGGGAATTCAAGATGGGTCCATGCAATGAAATGGTCAGGGCAAAATGCCTTTGGAAAAGCCCCATTAGTTTCTTTTACAGTAGATGGTGTAGAGAAAGGAGTTGAAAAGAACCATGGGCCTTTAACATTCCTCAAGGTCCATGATGCAGGCCATATGGTACCAATGGATCAGCCCAAAGCAGCACTGGAAATGCTTCAGAGGTGGATGCAAAATAAATTGACTAAAGAAGATCATCTTGCTCCTATATGAACAAGCTTCAAATAGATTGAATACGAAAATAAATAAATATATATAGTTTCATATGTTTCAAGAAAATTAATTATAGTAATCATGTAAATCACAGTTTCATGTTACTTTACAAATCTATCAATGAGATGATTTTTCTTTGAGGGAAATAACATTCTGCAAAAACCTACTCCCAACATATTTTTGAATCGTAGTAGTACATTATACATCTGCCCATCAACAACAGAGGGGGTGTGATTCACATTTTAGACAACATGACTGAAATAGATTGATTCAACTAGATAAGCTTTACAGATTTAAAATTTGTTGTCTATTTTCAAGAAGAAAACACTCTTTATTCTTTTAACACTCCATCACCGAATGATTTACTTTCAAGTTCTCATGGCCAAATGGGAGAACAAAAGGTTAAACCATGCCCTGATGTGCCTAAATGAAATTCATATCTCTTTCGTTTAATTTTCTAACTTAACATTCTTCTTTTTTTTGTTATTCTATTCTATCATTGATGGTAGTATTAGAGACCTAGCAATCGCGAGTAGTTTCAAATGATTTTATAACCATACCAAATTAACCCTTGAAATGCGTTATATATACCAAGCATTATTGATTATCCATAGGGGCAGAATATTACTAAGTTAACAATATCCAAGTAAGCAAGCATGTCTAACATATAATTTTGATATGAAGATTTGTTACATTTTGGTCAAGTTACGATCATTCCTAGGTTCGTGCTCTAACATTTAATATTGCTATTATTGCAGGTCGCAATAATTAAAAAATTAATATATTTAAAAAATACATATAAAATTATTTAAATTTCGAAAATGTGCTACGTAGAGAATATTTTTATTTGCATACTTTCCTCTATTTTTATGAAGGATGGCTTTTTCGTGCTTTAGATTTTACCAACATTTTCATGGTCATGTTAAGTGGGTTCTTTTATGGTTCAGTGTAATCACTTAAACTTTATTTGTAACAATTAAATTAAGCCTCTTGAACAAGAACACTAGGGGACACGTGGAAGCCATTCAGGAACGATAGCACATAAATTCCATCACTTGAGCTGTGACTTGAGTTCATCAAACATTCATTCTTCAATAGGTGCGGGCCCCACAATATACTCTGCAAAATGCAATCGAAATCGCATCTGTTATGGCGGGTATACTCTATAGTCTGTACAGACGCACAGGCACAAAACACACACTTTCACCTTTCTCACTTTGCATGTGATCTCTCTCTCTCCAACTATATATACAAAACCCTCTAGCTTCATGTACTCTGCAAAATCAGTGCTGAAATCTCCTTCTCCACGACGGCAATATGTTCTACTCTCATCAGCTTCTTGCTCGCAAAGCTCCGCTCGGCCAAATATGGTGAAAATTGTCGATTACTACTTGTCATTTCGATTTTTTCCTTTCGAAATTCGTTATTTTCATATGCATACGTTACATTTTTGGAGTTTCTGCGTTTTTACTTGCATATGTTGTAAATCCTGAGCTAGATTTATGTTTCCTTCTTTAGTCGCTGTTTAATGATACTCAGTAGCTTCTTCACGCGATTTCTCGTAATCTGAAGTTATGAGTTATATGTTAAGTTGTCACTGTTGAATTGGATCCGTTTCTGTTCGGAAAATGCTTAAATTCAAATTGTTTATGAATGTATTGATCCAGTTTACTACAACTTTTGTTTTGATTTTCTATTCTAAATTCGTTTAATACATATAGATAAGCTACATGTTTTGCGTTTTAAACTTTCATATATCGCAATTCCTGTAGTGGATCATCTTTTGGTCTTTTGCTTTTCTGTATCTAATGTAATGTATTCGTTGAAGTTCCTTCATAGGATTTTCGGTATACGTTAAGTTTTCACATTTCAATTTGACTACGAAGAATGTTTAAATTGATGCTGTTTATATCTCTCTCTTTGCTGTGAAGGATGGCGGCCACTCTACACTCGAAACTCAATAGGAAAAAGCTTAGTAAACTCAATATTATTAACATCTGGTGAGGCGTTGTCTTCCACTACTACGTTGAACTGCCTTTATTCCTTGTTGATTTTGAGTAATCATCTTCTGCAATTTCTTTTGTCACAGTGAACAAATCTTAAATCCATCAGTCCCGATGGCTCTGAGGCTCTCTGGAATTCTCATGGGTATGCTTCGAAAACCACCGACTGTCCGCAATTGCTGCTTTCGGTTTAGATATCTAATCGTCAGTTCTATCTCAGGTGGAGTAGTCATTGTTTACGAACGCAAAGTGAAACTCCTCTACGGTATGAATTGCCATGACGACTTCATCATTTCTATTTGAATTTCGCGTCAATTTCTTTGAATTTTACTCCTACTTTCCCCTTCCTTATTGCTTCAATTTTTGTTTTCTTTATGTTTTCTTAAATGCAGAGGATGTGACTCGTCTCATGGTAGTAACACTGGTCTTCGATCCCAATCAACTTAATCTCTTTCTTTGCTCTGTTTTCATTAAATTCAGCATTTATGATTTGGTATTTTCAGGTGCAAATTAATGAAGCTTGGAAGGTCAAAGCAGCTACCGATCCTACGTTACTTCCCAAGGGTAAATCGCAAGCCAAGTGAGTAACTCCTCTCCAATTCGACGTCACAGTATTTTGCCGAGAAGCAGAGAGGGCGAATGTTACCAACTGTTTAATAGTTTCAGTTACTTCGATAGTGCTTCAGTAAATTAACAACTTAAGTATGAACTGCCACCAATCATTTGAATTATTAACTCAATTTATTATGGTTTATTTCACTCAATGTTTGGGTCAGTTTCATCAATGGGTTATTTAAGGCCAGCTTATGCTGTGAATCCTCTAGTTGTTTTTCCTAAGGTTGATACTTAACTTTTCATTCCTCATTTCAATTCCTGTAGGTATGCAGCTGTTACTCTGCCAGAGAATCGGGAGGAAGAACTCCCTGAGATTGAACAGACGTTACGAAATCCAGACACAGTCACAATGATGGATTTCGAACAAACCTCATATTTCACGATGGTACATTATGGAAAGCACTGAGACCTCCTCAATCCACGAAATAACTTCAAAAGCAGAAACAAAAATTGTTAGGAAAAATAGGAATTTGTTGGAACTGATCTAATTAGACTATTGAGCTTGCTTTAGATTGTTCAATAAGTTGTGTTTCATTGTTCAGCAAGTTTGCAAGTTCAACAATAGAAAGTTAACAATGATAAAGTGGTTTGATTTCCCTTCGCTTTCTTTTGGTTACTCCATATGTTTTGTAATTTGTTCTATGTTATTTCCACTCTTGAGTTGTTTAAGCTTTTTGAGAGACTATCAAAAGTTACTTGGGTTTTGTCAGTGTTCATGACCTTGTTGCGTAGGCAATCTTATCTGATACCACTTGGATTAGAGTAGGAAATATTAGTGAAAATAAGATCATAATTGATAATTTCTACATGAGAGTGCAGCTAAACTCGCGGATGTTCAATGTGCAGAGACTAGATAATGCTGATCTCTATGATAAACCCAATGCACAGAAGGAACCTGCCAAGGACTTGCATCAAGGTATACCTAGATCCCACTATCAGCATAGATTATGCTAATTTCACCATCACAGTAGAATATATAACTATATCCTAGTCAATGCTACTTTGTTTTCCAGTTTTGTCTTGTTGTGCCCATCTCTAAACAATCCTGAAACCCTTTTTGCAGTTGATCCAGATAATATCACCCTCGCTGAACACTTTGAATCCCATCATACAGATATGTTCAATCATTTTGAGAGGTACCACGATGAACAGTTAGTAGGCTCTGTATTTCTAAGTTTATATGGTCAGTTAGCATAAAGACTTCACGTGAACCAAACTATCCATCATTAAATCACAGGAGGCTAATTAGCCTCATTTTCATTTAACTGCAAAGCTTTCCTTCTATTATCCTCCTATTAATTTTTAAGCATGAATTACTCTGCAGGTTTGATATTGAAGGGGATGAAGAAACACAAATGAATTATACCCAGCCAGAGGATGCTCAAATCCCAAGTACTCCTGTGCCATCTCCACCTCGAGAACAAGCCCATCAACGTAAGAATGTGTTACTATCTTCTACGTTAGATAAATGAAGTTTTTTGATATGTAAATAGTAGATGGACTTAATATGTTTCACTATTTCACTTGGTGCGCTTTAAGGGAGACTTTTCTGATAGAGACATTATGGCAATAAACCCTTCCTCTCAAAGAGGAACATGGATGCAAGTCGTACTTACCTACTATCAGATCAGTTAAAATACTCTGTGGCTACCTGGCTGCTTAACATTAAACTTCCAGTTTACATATGTAGTTCCTTCAAGCACAGAACTCTATTGGATTGAGTTGAGCTCGTAAAAGTCTTTAGATTTCCTTAGGTAATTAATTATTTCTGAAAATTGGTTGAATGGAGCGAAACATTATTGCAGCTGATGAGATCCCTGACAGACATCCAGAGGACCAAGTGAAGCAACAATCTGATGAAGTTGAAGAAGCTTTTGAGGTAGAAACTCCACAAGCAACCGAGCTAGAAAATAATGTAAAGAAAAACTGTCAGCACTAATCATACGTCTTGACATGATATTGTAGCAGCGGCAGGATCAACAAAGGCCAAAGCCAGCTCGACGAAGAGCAAGAAAGGCCACAGGTCTTGCAATTGATCATGAGCAAACTATTATTTCTGGTGACATATATCAATCCTGGCTTCAGAGTTCTTCAGATATTGCATCAAGAAAAAGGAAAAAGAGAAAGGTACTCCCATACCTCCCAAGTCTAGATCTTCCCCATCTCAATTTTTCCATTCTGTGCACCTTAGCAATTAAAATTTGACTAGGGTCTAATCCTACAATAGAGCATGTTTAACCTTTGACATCAATGACTAGTCTTTGAGTATCCTAAGAATAGCAAGTACATCTCTCTCTGGAAGGTAACCTTAACTAAACTAAGATGCAGCGTCATTTATTAGTAACCTTAAGTTCCTGCTCTGTGCAGACTTTGAGAGTCTTACATTCTATGAAGATAGCCAGAATGATGGAAATGCCTCCTATTGCACTACTTGAAGGATTGTTCACAAATGGAAATAAGGAAGTTCACTATCCAGCACCACTCCTAAAATTATGGATGAGGAATACCCAACCTCCGCATGATTCACCTTCTGGTCTGGTTTTTCATCCATGATATTAGACTCTTAGTTGCCAAAACTACAAACAGATGGTAATTACGTTTGACTTGCAGGAAAGACCTCTCCACCCTATCCTCCTGAACCATCCTATACATCTCCAGGTGAAAGGATGGGTAATTTGGAACCGCCTTTCGAATATTTCCAAAGCGGTGTAGGCTCCCCAGCAGTAGGAATCTCTATAGAAAAACAAAGGGCAAATCTCAACAATAACAAGATTCCACCTGAAATTCTCATGGAGGACCTCAGAACCAATCTTACAAACATGGGACTGCATCCAACAGTGGCTAATGGAGTGAAAGAGACTGATCACATGGCCACACCTGGCTCTGGTATATCTATATTTTTTATGAATTTCCCAATCTCCATGATTTGTTCGGCGATCTGTTATGGTGGTATAACTAACATTTTTGTGAATCTATAGGTGATGAGCCTAGATCCATTCCAAGCTCAGGATCTGGTCATGGTTTACTATCACAGAATTCTGTAACCAATTCAAGCCGGTTAGTACTACTAGTAGATATAGGTTGAGGGATATTTGTCTAAAGATGAACCACTTGAATCATACAGACAATAACAGAAGGAAATAATGAATATCATGGATCTCGGTACCATAGGAAACTTTAAAAACTTTGCTTCTTTTTAAAATTACGAAGGTCTCACCATATAGCAGCATCTGGTTACATTGATCAAAATTGTTAACTCTTCAGGTCCAACAAGAAAAGACCCCATTCTTCATCGAAGCACAGTGGCAATGGTCTTCAACCAGTAGCAGAAGAGAACCCATGGCACGACCCCACTCCAAATTTCAAGTTGACTAGATTATCTGAACTATCTGAAAATGGTTTTACACAAGACAACGGTTTGTGAATAGTCAATAACTTTCCCATTTTAGTTCTGGTCATTTTCTTTAATGTGGTTTAGTTTGTTATGAACCTCCCTTTACTCTTTTGGCAGAGATATTGATGGAAACCGGACCAACACAAACCCAACATCCATTTATTACTCAACCTCTTGACATGATGACTGACTCTATCAGGATGTAAATCCTTTTCCATTAGTTCCTAAAATTTCCTCCAGCTTCATTATATATCATCTGACTAATTGATTTTTCACATGATAAACTGATGCCTACAGGCAGCTAAAGAGTCATTTTGACACTCCCGGATCAGCCGAAGCAGAATGTTTGAATGAACTAACTCTTGGGATGACAAAGAAACAAGCAGCATGTCTTTTTTATCAGACTTGTGGTGTGCATATTTCTTTCATATCTTTTACTCTGCATTGCAGCACAGAGAAAATTTATAGTTTCCAGCTCATCTCATTAGAGAGAATTAATGTTTGCTCCATTCTATGTGCAGTTCTGGCCACTCGAGACTTCATAAAAGTCGAACAGGAGCTTCCATATGGAAACATCCTCATTTCCAGAGGTGCAAAGATGTGACAACGGATAAATAGAGAAGATGCTAATCCCTCACAAGTCTTATAGGTTCATTTATTGTTATAGCTGATACAAATTTGTTTTTCGGTTAAGGTATTGGAGAGTTCAGGCACAGATTTATAGCTCGATTTATCAGGAGAAAGTATTTTTATTGTTAACCTGTCTAGTGTTTAATCGTAGAAGCATAGTTGTCTCCAAGAGAATACAGATAGGAGTACATGATTGGTCATTCTGAAACTAGCGAATTGCATATTTTGTACTAGCATTTGGTGACAGCTATTTGTTTTAAAAAGTGTATGAAGGTCAAATGTTGAGAAGCTAAAAAGATAGTAACACATGGAAGTGCTATGTATACTTCCAGTCAGACAAAACAGAAATCATAACAGTTCACGAAGTCATTGGACAACTTCTCTGCAATGTTATCAACTTTCTTTTCTTTTGCTTTTGGTATAACGACATCATGCTGCAATGATAAGATGGGTTAACTCATAGTACATTGTTGGTTTTGAAGTGATGTCCCGAAATCTATTTTATTTGAATAAAACTATGTAGTGCAGTAATAACTGTGCACTACAAACCATGTTCAGTTATAGGCCAGTCTTATATCGAAGCCTCTTTACTCGATCAAAACACCCAATAGAAACATAATACACCTTTCTACAAATGCAGTGTGTACACTGTCATACTAAGAACAATATTCAATAGTTGGCTCATCTACAGTCACCTACAACTTTAACATGATTGAATACAAACATCTCAACAGATTAAGCACATCCAATCCAGGTTTACATTCTGTCTTCCCTCCACCATGGGGCATATGTGACGATTTCATCAACCTTAGTATCATCTCAGCAGCCTCGGTTGCAGATAGTAACACAGCCTGTTTGACTTTGAATGCCTCCGATATTCCTAGTTCTGCCATATCTCCAACCTGTCATAAAAGCCAGATAAGATGATTAGATTCTAGCAAAATCCTAACTCCCAATAAGCAGCAGGAATCAATGATTTGCACAGGATTTGAATTGTGCTTGGTGAAAAGAGAAATGGAGAGAGTTTCGGCTTCCTTCAGTTAGACTTTACTAAAAAGAACAGTTACAAAATAAATGGAATGGTCATTTTTCTCTTTTGAAGAACTAGAGGAGAAAAGAAGATGCTTTCTTCCTTGTGGAGAGTCCTCTTAAACCGTACAAAGGAAAGAGAAGTTCAGTTATGATAAAACTATCATTCCATTTCCTGCTTTGGCAACAGAGATTGGCTGTTTCAGTATTTCAATCAAAAACCCAAATCGTTATTTTTTCTTCTTAAAGTATGATTCAGTTAAACCAAGACAAAAGAAGACGTAAATGCAAAGACCATCACTCAAGCACACCATATTAAATAAGTTTCCTCTTAGCTGAAATCTGCTGAAAGAAGGGATCATATTCCATACAAGATAAATCATGTTTCTTTTTAACTTTTGGGTACTTCAATTTTTCCCCTGAATAAAAACAGAAGAAACTATTAAGTTATTGCCTTTCTTAACACAAAACTGCATCCATAGGGCACCAACTTATATTTTCCTCCCAATCAAATTAAAAGATCCTGATCATAAAATATTAAACAGAGGTGCCTTATTATGAGGACCATATCCATTGAAAGCATGAAGCGGTCAAATATTCAGTTCAGGTAACGTCATCAGGGTTCCTGCTAAGTCTGTTACCAGTGTTGCATTGACTTCGATGAAGAAAAGCAAGGGCAAATTTGAGCAAGCAAAACAATACAGAAAGCTGATTTCATGAACAGACTGTGTTCTGAACTCATCACAAGATAGCATAATTAATTATTCCGACATTTTGAGTGGGTTTACCCACCTCACCTGTCCAGTGATGACATCTATCCCTGCATTGTTTTCTTCCTTGTGGTGTTCTGCACGAAGCTGGGCAACCAGCTAAGCGCTGTCCAGATCAGCATTGTCAGCAATGATTGTCGGATTGCCACAAGTGCCTGGGAAAAGCCTCAATTGCATGAGACCTTTTACCAGGAGTCTTTTTAGCTCAGTTCATCTACTGCCTTTGCCATCACCATCTCGGTCCATCCACCTCCAAGTAGAATTCAATTGTCATTTACTGTCTGAGACAGTACACACAAGGCATCATGCAGAGATTTTTCAGCTTCAGCCAGTACATGAGGGCTTCCAAAAGAATAAGAGACAGAGTTCATATATAAAACATTGCACAGAATTAAACAGACTTCACTTTCAACCCACTAAAGATGAGATTTTCATCAGCACATGCATGGGCCATCACGGTGACCAAAGAGAACTTGATTTTAGAACTCATTTATTAAATATTCATTTCCCAAGGAACAAAAATCACTTGATGCATTATAGTTAATCCCCAAGTGGATTTCAAGTAGTTTACAACCTTCACGAAAATCAAACAGATACTAAGCTGGAGACGAGATGACACCATTCTGGAGACCCCTCCCTATCAATCCTTCCTCCAAACAAATGGCAGTTGAAGACAAAGAAAGAGTAAGATGCTAATACATACCTTGCACCTCTCAAGACAATTGTACAGCCTGACCCAGTTCGTCCCCAGGAAAGTAGATCAAGTTGTCCTCGTCAATCATTATTTCTTCAATGAGTTTGCAGTGTCCCAGCTTGACAGACTCTGGATTATCAAAGGTAGATGCAAACTCTCCATAACCAAAGCCAGGCGCTCAATACCATCAAAATCAGCATGCTCGATAACAAGTATCCCTGCTTCCGCAAACTGTTCCTCTGGGATATTGTAAGTCAGCTGTCGGTTACCAAAGCAGTTTATTACATGAGAGATGATGTTTTGCACCTTCTCCCTCATTTTATCTTTTTCAGCTGCTTCTAGCTCAGCAACCTTGGCCATTGAGTCAACTCAGACACGTGCACCATAGATTTTAACTTAATCAGTATCCATTGCCATGTTCGCCACCAAGATCTTAGCAATTTAATACGTTTCGGTTGGCCAACCCAATCTTTTTATCCAAAATAAACCTGCAGAAAAGAAATGATTTTAGAGAGAAAGAACTCGAGGAATTTATATTCCTTCTTAAGAGTAATCGTGTATTGATGTTACAAGAGAACTCTATAACCTAGAAGCAGACCAAAAAAGAGAGACTCAACGAACAATATGGTTCTCAAACAATGACCTCCGGTCATAACATCTATACTAGTAGGAAGCTCGTGGGTGCACCAAAAGTTTTTCACAAATAAAAGACATGCCTCAAGCTGTACGAGTCATACAAGCTATCTATCCTTTTCTTCCAAAGTAGCCACATAAAGTCCAATTAATTCTATCTAAACCCCCAAACACATCCCTTACATCAATCATGATGGTACATAGAAAACAATTACTCTACCCGACCATACATAAAAGGTTTTGACAAGTTCTTCAGTGATTTGCTGGAGCCAAGAGAAAACCTCCCAAGGAAAACATATTATTCACAACTCCGAAGTACATACAGTGTAATAGGTAAACAAGCTTTTTACAGCGCAACGTATAAGGACAAAGCATACTAATCAACCATGATTAAGTGTAAAAGTTGATTACATATTTCATGCATCAATGTGTTGACAAACACATATGCAAGTATTTTCCTTTAATATCAAGTCACACAGATTCACAAACGCTGATCAATACTCCACTATTGCAGAAACTACAGAATTGGTAACGAACAATGACTAAATGTGCTACATTTGAACCCTCACTTTCTTCTTACGAAAGCCCATGCTAGGGCTCAACACAATACAAACACAACTCAATTACTCCTCATGTATATGAATCAACTCTTTACATTACACTCATTTTAGTCATAATTTGTTCATTTTTCACCTAGTCGTCCATCTACAACAATCCTTCTCGTTTATCCGGCCCGGGATCTACTATACTTCCGAAACGCATGTAAACAGAGTTCATGAAAAAGCGAGAAAAGAGTAACTAGAGAGGACGACGAACCTTCTAGAACAACGCTTTCCACGGCGGCGCCGGAGAAGAGAAGTTACTTAGAGTAGTGGAAAGGTGTCAGTGGGAAAAATAAAATCTGGAGGGAGGGATGCGAAAATGGAGTTGTGGAGTTTGAAGGTTTAAATGCTCTTGGACGGTATTTTATTAATTTGCTGAGGGTAGATTGGTCATAAAAACTATGGGCTTCCGTTGTTTGATTTTTATAAAAACAGGTCGGGGAACTTGAAGTTTCTGTACGATTGACCTTTTTCTTATTGATCTCTAATTTTTGTGGCATAAATTTAAGTAACTTTTATATCTTGTCTCGTATCAAATTTATAGTAATTAAATTTTCTGACATTAATCACATAGTATATAATTCATTCAGTACAAGTTTTAAAAAAAATTGTCATGTCCAATTATGTCTTTTGCACATAAGTCTTGAACTGAGCTTATGACGTAATTAGTGTAATATTATAATACAAAATTATGTCTTGCCATTTCCTTTTTCTTTTTTTAATATTAAGGGATATTTTTGTTACTAAAAATTAAGCGCAAAAATTAAAAGACCACATTTAAGCCCACCCTAAAATAGGCATTCTGTGCCAATGACCCACGCCACTTTCCCCCGGTCCAATATCAAATGCCCTACATTATCTTATCTTTGAATTTCTAGAGTCTAGTCTCCTTCTCACATTCGCAGGAAAATTACTGCTGTAGAAGTTAAAGTCTCTCATGGCAATGACGATGACCACTGCAATGGCATCGCCGTCGCGCCGGCTGCTTATCGACTCTCGACATAGTACAGTCAGCACAATCCCCAAGAATGTGGCAATTTACCCAGCAACAGCAGTTACAAATCAGGGGTTATTGAAGCACCGTATATCCTTGCAAGGATTCCTAAGATCTCTGGTGAAACCAGTATCGGCTGCTAGTTCAGGGTTTGAGGCAGATTTGGGTGATGATGAATCTTTGATACGCGTTAAAAATGCAAAGATAGCTGTTGAATCCGAAGACGATGAGAAGATACAAGTCAGAGTAGATGTGAACGAAGAGGACACAAAAACGGTTTTCGAAAAAGTATTGACAAATTTAGCAAAATCAGCGCCACCTGTTCCAGGCTTCCGCAGGGAAAAAGGAGGGAAAACATCAAAGGTTCCCAAGGACTTTCTACTGCAGATACTTGGTGAAGACCGAGTTACCAATTTTGTAATACGAGAAATTGTTACCTCAACTCTTGCTGATTATGTGAAGAAGGAGAATTTGGCAGTAAAGGATAACAAGATTAGCACCACACAAACTGCGGATGAACTCAAGTCATCATTTGTTCCGGGAACAGAATTCGGATTCAATGCCACCTTAGAGCTTGAAAAATCAAAAACTGAAGCCACCACATAAACCCGCAGAAGAAGATGAGAAACTTTTTCTCACTGTTTAAACTCTTAGAATGACTTGTTAGAATAGAATCAGCAATTCCTGAGGCCAATAGATTGAAGGCTCCTAAGATCTATTACTGTTTGGCTTACTACTGGTTAGAATTGAAATTGAATTATGATTTCAGTTGGCATTTCAGTTCTCTATTCAAATTGAATTATGATTTCAGTTGGTATTTCTTGGAGCAATATCATCTGAAGAAACTTTTGTTGCCAGATATTTTCATTTTTTTGCTTACATTGAAGATATATCTTATCATCTGCTTTTTTGGCATCAAGATAGTTGATTGAAGTGGTACAAAGGAAGGGTATTTGAAATGCTTAAAGTGATCCTATTTAGTGATAATAGTATTGACAACAGGTAATTAACAAGGGTTCATGTGGATCTTTTGCTTCACAGTTTGCCACAATCTAAGAGAGGTCGAGGAAGATACAATTTTTTACATGTAGACATGAAAACTAAGACCAGAAGTAAAATTCCAATAGTCATTCCAGATACAAATTTTGTAATTGGCAGGCAATAATTACAAAAACATAGAGAAGCGTTGAGGGTTAAGGTAACAATTTACTTTCAATGCCAAATTGACTTCTGTATTGCACGTTTTATTTACTTTCAATAGCTTTACATATTTTATTATGATAAACTTGAAACTAGTGGTATGCGAGAACATGTGTCGCAAGCTCGTGATAGACTGTTATGAACCAGCCTCGGCCCAACATCATTACCTACTTGGGTGTCGCACAACTAGTTATTGGGGCGAGAAGAAGCAACAGAAATGGAAGGCCTTCACAAAGGTTGATTGGGCCAGGCAGGTTCATAACATAGACACTATGCAAAGGCTTTTTAGAGCATGGAAACTCGATTCCATGCTGACCACTCCTGCTATGCTACTGATGAAGAGAGACCGCCCATAGGCCGGATGATGTTACACATGATGGATTGGGTGTTTCTGGTAGGACTTTTTAGAAGTCCAGCATTCAAGGTAAATGCATGATATATTACTATTTAAACGTTGGTCCTTAATGTATTTATCTGCAGGTTACGAGTGAGAGGAACTAACTAAACCGGTGAAAACAAATAACTAAGCACTCATGTAGGCTGTAGCTCAAAGTCATTTGCAGAAGTGAAGGAATCCGATGGTACAAATCATTTACCAAAATGATAAAGCTCAAAAGAACCATTCAAAATGACAGAACATGAACGAAGTGAATCATGAAAAACTTTAGCATACAAGAACATGAAAGAGCATTAGCTTTAGCATAAGAAGAATAGTCATATAAGGAGAGTGATTTTTCAGTCGAAATCACAACAGCACTAGTTTGTTCACAAATTCAATATTATAAAATAATTACAGAGCATGCTAATCAACCATTGATTAGATGTAAAAGTTTATGCAGATTACATATTTCATGCATCAATGTATAATGTATTAGCAAAAACATAAACATATGTAAGAATATGATCACCATTTATACTTCATTATCCCAGAAATTACAGAATTGGCAACGAAAAATGACCAAATCTGCTACATTGAACCACCATCCCTCTCTTCTTACGAAAGCCGAACCTAGGGCTCAACACAACACAAACACAACTCAATTATTCCTCATTTCTACGAATCATCTCTTTACATTACACTCATTTTAGTCATAATTTAATCATCTTTAACCTAGTCGTCCATCTACCACAATCCTTCTCGTTAATCCAGCCCGGGATCCACTATACTTGCGAAACGCATGTAAACAGAGTTCATGAAAAAGCGAGAAAAGAGTAACTAGAGAGGACGACGAACCTTCTACAACAACGCTTTCGAAGGCGGCGCCGGAGAAGAGAATTTACTGAGAGTAGCGGAGAAGTGTCAGCGGGAAAAGAAGAATCTGGAGGGTAGGGAGGGAGATGGTTTGCCAAAATGGAGTTCTGAAATTTGAAGGTTCAAATGGTCTTGGACGGTATTTATTAGTTTCCTGAGGGTATATTGGTCATAAAAACTATGGGCTTCCTTTGTTGATCTTTGTGAAAACGGGGCACGCGACTTGAATGACCCGTCTGGCCATAGATATAGCAAGTCTAGTTTTTTGGATGAGGGAAATTGACAAAAAATGTTGTCAATTTTTGGTAAAAGATTCAAAATCCCAAAAACTAAAAAAAAAAGAAGAAGAAGGTAATTTTGGGGCTAAAATCTAATCTATGAATTCTTTTAAAATTTAAAACATATTTCAAATGTTTTTTTATATAAAAAAAACCCATTCATTATTACTCCAACTTCAACTATAATTATCTCAATTTTTTACATTTTAAAAAATTAATTTGTTTTGATATAATAATTTTGTTCATTCTATTTATAGTTTCGTAAAGAATGTGTCAAGTCAGACAAATAAAAATGAAATAAGTGAGTACTAAAATGTCAACAGATAAAAAATGAAGAACATATTTGGAGGTGGGGTTGCTTATTGAGCGAATAATTTCACTTTATAATTTGACCTATTAGTTAGTGATTTTTAAATGTACTAATCCGCTAGTAAACTGATAAGATATCGATTGATTCGCTAATGAATTAACATTTATTTAAAAATTATTGACCAACATATCGATTAACCTTTATGATACCTTCTTTTTCAATGAACGCATCTTACACTATACTTGCATGAAGCCATGAACATTGCTAATCTGAAATTATTGAATTCATACCATCAAAGAGAACATTGCTTGCATTTAGATCTCGATGAAGGACCTTTAAACGTGAATCAAGTGAAGATTAAAAAAAAGGTCCTCAATCAATGCCTTAGATCATGTAGAAACATTTATAGCATAATTTTAAATGGGGATTTAGCCTTTAGCATTCATAATAATAATATAATATGTACTTTATATATTTAGGGGTAAAAGTGTAAGTATGACAATTCTTAATGGATTAATGATTTATTCGATAAAAAAAATTTGAGTGATCTACTCTCAATTCAATAAATCATTAATTATAAAATTTCAATTCATTACTTAATTATTTGTTTGATAATTCAATGCCAATAAACTAATAAGTCAATTTTGTGATTTTATTGTTTAGTACGCGATTTTGAACACCCTTTAAGGGGGCAGAATTAAACACCACTCTAATTTAGGGGTATTCGTGTGAATGACCCGCGTCCGCGCTACTGCCGTCCCGTGCAAAATCAAATGCCCTACATAATCTTATCTTTGAATTTCTCGCGTCTGATCTTCTTCTCAGTTCTCACACTCGCAAATTACTGTAGAAGTTAAAAAGGCTATCATAGTTTCCGAGGGAACTATGGCAATGACCATGACCACTTCAGTGGCGTCGCCGTCCCGCCGGCTGCTTATCGACTCTCGCTATAGTACCGCCATCACTATCCCCAAGAATGTGGCAATTTACCCAGCAACAGCAGTTACAAATAAGGGGCTATTGAAGCACTGTATATCCTCGCAAGGATGCGTAAGATCTCTGGTGAAACCAGTATCGGCTGCTAGTTCAGGGCTAGATGCAGATTTGGCTGATGAATGCCTTAAAAATGCAAAGATAGTTGTTGAATCCAAAGAAGCTGAGAAGATACAAGTCAGAGTAGATGTGAACGAGGAGTACACAGAAATGGTTTTCGACAGCGTTTTGACAAAATTAGCAAAATCAGAGCAACCAATTCCAGGCTTCCGCAGGGAAAAAGGAGGGAAAACATCCCAGGTTCCTAGGGAATTTCTACCGCAGATACTTGGTGAAGAGCGAGTTACCAATTCTGTAATACGAGAAATTATCAACTCAACTCTTGCTGATTATGTGAAGAAGGAGAATTTGGCGGTGAAGGATAACAAGATTAGCATCACACAAACTGCGGATGAACTCATGTCATCCTTTGCTCCGGGAACTGAATTCGGGTTCAACGCCATCTTAGAGCTTGAAAAATCAAAAACTGAAGCCACCACATAAACCCACAGAAGAAGATGTACTGAAACTTTTTCTCACTGTTTAATATCTTAGAATGTTAGAGCAGAATTAGTAATTCCCGAGGCCAATAGATTGAAGGATCCTAAATCTATTACTGGTTGGCTTACTACTGGTTAAAATTGACATTGAATTATGATTTCAGTTGGCATTTCTGGGAGCAATATCATGTGAGAAATTTTTATGGCCAGTTTACCAACTGAGCAACTACTTCCTTGGAAACTAGCATCTGAAAAGTAGTGAGTTTTGAAATAAAACTGAAACAAAGATTAAAAATCTTCCATTTTTTTGCTTTCATTAGGATATATCTTATCATCTGCTTTTTTTGCATCAAGATAGTTGATTCAAAAGGTAAAAAGGAAGGGTACGTGAAATGTTTAAAGTGGTCCTATTTAATGATAATAGTAGTGACAACAGTTAATTAACAAGGGTTCATGTGGATCTTTTGCTTCACAGTTTGCAACAAATCTAAGAAAGGCAGAGGGGGAGATACAAATTTTTACATGTGGACATGAAAACTAAGCATGGTAGTAAAATTTTCCATTGTCATTCCTGATGACATTGTGAGAGTTGTAGTTCCTGGGTCTAGAGATATTGTTAACTATTGTGGCTTGATTATGCGGCACACTATATTGTTCAGAGATGATAATTGGCAGGCAATAATTACAAAAACATGGAGAAGTGATGTAGTTGAAGGTTAAGGTAATAATTTACTTTCAATGTCAAATTGACTTCTTGTTGCATGTGTTATTACTTTCAATAGTTTTACATATTTTATCAGAGGATAAACTTGAAACTAGTGGTATGCGAGAACATGTGTTGCAAGCTCTTGTGATTGACAGTCTGACACTATGCAAAGGCTTTATAGAGCATGGAACACTCTATGCATGCTGACTACTCCTGTTATGCCACTGATAAAGAGAGACCTTCCATAGACTGTATGATGTTACACCTGATGACTGGATGTTTCTTGTAGGACTTTTTAGAAGTCCCGCATTCAAGGTAACTCGATAATAGGAATGCATGATAAGCTACTATTTAAGTGTTGGTCCTTAATGTATTTATCTAATTGCAGGTTATGAATGAGTGGAACAAGCTAACCGGGAAAAGCAAATAACTAAGCACTGTTGTGGCTCAAAGTCATTTGCAGAAGTGAAGGAATCATTGGTACAAATACACTTACCAAAACCACTATATAATTATTATGAGTTTATAGTATAAATATTTTCATCTTTTGTAATATATCATACAGAGATCCTGATAATGGAACGAAGGCAACACAAAATTCATATAATTTTCTGATTCATTTTTCTATTATATTGTTATAGCTTCCTATTTTATAATATTAACTGTTTGAAGGGCCAGCTCCAGGAAATTGTGGCTCAACAGCAATCTGAAGAAAATGAGCATTCAATCAGTTGCAGGTGAGATCTTAACCACTATACTTGGTGATCGGACTAACTATGTTCGTTGAAAAGGGTATGGAAAGAGGCCTCCAGAAAAGAGTTGTGTGCAACAGGTAGACTTACAGGCAAGTATGTCTTCTACAATGGGAAGTATGTGCCAAGAGATGCAAGAAAAAATGGAAAGAATATTGCTGGAAGAACATGAGCAAGTGGCTGCTGAGTTGCAAAGAAAGAAGAACAAGTGACTTCTGAGTTACTAAGGAAACTAGAAGAGGAGCGTACCCTCATGGATATACAAGTTGGCCAAAGGACTCAAGTGAAGATGGATGTATTCATGATCAGAATGCAACAGGTAAACATGTATGTTTTGCGTATTTGGATATACAGTGAATAAGTCATTTGAAATTTGGACCTTTGTTCTCCCTGTTTGCTTTAATGTTGAGCGTCTGATGCATTTCTGCCTTATAGATTTGGTAATCTAAAATTGTTAGTCATTTGGTCCTCTCAGTGTTTTGGGTTATATATGATGCTTCGAGTTGGATTTCTCTAAGTGTGGTGCCATTAGGGGCGTCTTTTGGTATAGAGGAAAATATTTTTCAATTTTTCTATGTTTGATCGGTCAAATGTAGGAATACAAGTTCCTTAAAAATGAGGAAAATGATTTTCCCTATAATAGAAGTAGAAAACAAGTTCCATAAGTGGCCTTCCAAGCTCATTGTCTCCTTCCACCCCCAATGGCCCCCCTCCACCCCCTAACTCCAACTCCCTGCATCATCTCACCCCCATAGTGTTTTCCTAAATTATATATAAATGTTTGGGACAAAATGTTTTTATTTACGTACCACTAAATTTGTTAGAAATTTAATTATTTTTCGAAAAAAATATTTTCTAAGGAACATGTCCTTCGTATCAAACACACCCTAGGTCCTATTACTATCCACTTGTGGATAAAGACCTTTGGAATATTAATTGCAAGCAGAATATGATGACAGTTCAATTCCAAACATGGATATGAGTGACCAATAATATTTTTGACATTCAAAGAGGTCAATATATCTTGTTTTTTTATATGATCGTGGTGTTCGGGCCAGCTTGCACGAACCTCGACTAATTTAACGGGATAGCTGTCACCTCCCACCAGCAACAAGTTATCGCGTAACTGTCTACCAAGGGTAGGAGTAGGACAGATGGAAATAAATCTCTAGTGTTTTTGGTTCTGCTGGGATTTGAACTAGAGACTTCATGGTTCTCAACCCACCTCATTGAGTTCTTTGTGGAAGACGAGACGAGGAATAAACTTGTCAATATGTTACATAGATTTTAATTTCCTTTACAGGATTTAATCAGAAGTAATTTAAGTTCCTAGCATTTGAGTATTTTTTTCATGAGATGCATCGCGGATTTATCAGTCTTTCTCTTTTTGCTTCTTACTTACTATAAGTTTGTAAATCTACATACCTGTTGTGTTAGTTTCTCCCCGAGTCTAAGGGATTCTAGTAAACTAAGACAACATAATTTCCTTTTTCAGATACTTTCAATTGTCTAATCCTTATTTCTTCTTTTAATATCATGTTATACGTCGATTCCCTTGATTTTCTGGCTTCCCTTCCTGCATAATCTCAAATGTTATCAGTTTCGGAGTGCTTGTGGTTCAATTCAATGCAAAGAGTCACGGGGTGAGATAAGTCTTTCCCTAGATCCTGGTAATGAGAAACTGCATTTAGTAGTTTATTTTCCATTTGTTCATTAGTAATGAGAAAAGTTGTTATTCTACTTGTCCCTTTGCACTAGCCTTGAACTATGTACTACCAAGTGAGGATTCAACCTTCCCATTAGTACTTGGCTTAGGATCTGTGTATTTTTACACATGCATATATTAATGATGTTTATCCTTCGTTTTCTTAATAGCAAAGATAAAGTATTCAACAACGAGGACATGAAGTTGCTCAAGGAGTTTTTTTGAAGATACTGGAGTAGTTTGAAAATGTGTGGCTAAAGCGGGCAATGAAATGGGAGTTGGGCCATTTCTGCCGAACTGATGGCCGAATGGCCAAACAGTGTTAGACTTCTTTCATTTCCAAAGTATCAAGGGATTTCGGTAGACTTCTTTCATTTTCAAATTAGCTTGCGACAAGTCCTAGCATTAGTATGAGTTTGTTGACCGCATAAGGGCAATTCATCTTGATCGTGTCAACCAGATACCATTCTAATTACTGCTAGTTGGACTCATTTTGTATTCCTTCAGCTGTGTTTCAAGAAGACGAAACATATAGATTGCCCTTAAACTAGCTACCAACTCTCAAGTAGAGGTGTTTCTCTGGTTATTAGTATAGTTAAACCGTCTACTTGATAATTGATAACGAGTTTAAGCGATTATATATGTATTTCGCCTTTCAAAAATTGCATCGTCTTGTGAGAATAAAGCCACATAGTCATGTATTACAATCAAATATTGGAAGAGAATAGTGGCATCGTCTCCATTGAACCCAGAATAGTGAACATCAAGTTATTCTCATTCATTCACTATATGATGTACTTGTTTCATAGTACATGAATAGTTGACTCTTCTCCATTTTTCGAAATGTCTAGTAGTTAACTGTGAAGTTTCAAAGGTCAAATTTACCTTTAGACTTTAATGATCCAACTTTTTCATTAGTTCTTAAGGACAAAATCGGGTCACTTTGATTACAAGTGGGTTAGAAACGAAATACTTTAACATGTAATTTACAAAAATAGTTTTGGAGGTGTGTGATCTTGAACTTTTAACTTCACTTGCTCCATGAACAAAATTTGATGTTTAATAAGTTTTAATTTTCAACTTTGAAGACTTGTTCATAAAACAAGTGAAGATCAAAAGTAGAAGCAGCAACAACAACAATCACTTGCCCAATATAGTTCAGTAAAGTAGATATAAAGAGGATAGAATGTATACAAACTTTATTCTTATCGGAAAGAGATAAACAAGACTCTTTTCAATGACCATCAACTAGTTATAAATGTTGAAAATCAAAAGTTAAAAGTTAAAGAAGGTTTATTTTATTTTTGGGATAAAAAAGCCCCCTGGGGTCCACACATATGACATATGAACAGAGATCCATATTTATAAGGGCAACAAAAAGAGCAGTGAATCGAGTAAAAGGGCAGGGTTAATTTATTCCTACCCGGTGTCTAGAGCTCACATTAGAGCTCTAACTATATTCAGATTGCACATTGTAGTGTCCATTTCGGAGTGACGCTCCCAACATATTTTTCTCCATATTCAGATCTCGAACCTAAGACTTTTAGTTAAGAATAAAGCAGTGTCATTGCACCACAACTCGGGTCGGTGAGTAAAAGGGCAGGTTTAATTTTGAGTAGTGTAATACTGACACGAATCTCAATGTCGATTTTTCCAGGCATTATATAGTCAAGCTCAGGGCTTATAAAACACCACATCCGGGATGTAGACTCACCCACCCCATAGTCTCTACATTCAGAAAGAAAAATTTAATACACGCAACTTATGTCATCATCTGACACAAAATCTTAGTTAAAAACGCCTTTCACCTATTTGTGCACACAACCCCAGCTACTTTAAGG